ACTGTGATTTTGCTGGGGCTTTCAACTGTCCCAGTATCCCTTGAATGGGATTTTTCTCATTTTCCCCTAGTCCTGTGGTGCCTGATCACTGTTTATAGCAGTGGGCCACTCATCCCCAGGGGAAACTGCTCCTGGAAGCCCTGGGTAAGAGGAAACACAGGCGGCACGTCCAGACTGCTCTGGCTAACTGTGCTCCATGGAGGAGCCAGGTCACAACATCTCCTGAAGCCCAGAATGGCATTTCCAATGTGATTTGCATTCTGCATTTTTACAGCATCATGTAAGTGGCACATTCATGCTCTTCAAGGAGGCTGCCGAAACTCCTATGTTATTGTGGAGAACAATAAAATGTTTGATATCCCTCCTCCCAGCTCTCAGCAATTAAACTTCTTTCCTCTTTGCAATGTCAAATAGTTTGGCAGAGTTTTGGCAGAGGAGCATGTTATCTGAAATCTGTTCATCCAGTTTTTCTCTCGTTCTTTGCAACAAAATTGGGGAAGATGCACAACACTGTCAAGAAGCACTTTAGCAGAGTTAACAGAGTAGGGAAGAGCACTGGAACACTGCAGAGCTGCAGTAGTTGTGTAGATGTGCTAATCCACTCTGTTTCTAGCTGATGCTTTCTCTTGATGTTCTCAAAAAACTGAGCACGCACTCTTCTTGGAGCTTCAGAGCTATCAGGCGAAGACTCTCAGGGGAGGTAGTTAACTGCTTTCCTTCAGTCTATGAGCCAGGACCAAATAGAAACCTCTGCAGAAGCAGTATGAAAGCTGGAGAGAGAGCACATTCTCCCTGTCATGAGCTAATGGCAGTGAGGCAGAAGGGAAATTTCCTGCTAACAAGCAGAGCCATCCTTCCTCTGAGCTCCCAGTTTTAGCCCCATGCATCTCTCCACTGCTACCATGAAGGAGTGTGGGGGTCGGATCCTTCTCTCCCTGTCCTCACAGCGTGTGGCCAAACCAGCAGCCACCATGAGACACCCTGCTCCCTGGATGCTCACTTTCTTCTAACTGGATGCTCTTTAAAAATGAGTTATAAAAGACCGTCCAGAATGCTTATGATTTAAGGACATCAAATTCAGTTATTGTAAATTCTGGCATGTCTGATTTTGCTATTTCAATCAATTCCCAGCAGAAATTAAGCAGAGGAGCTGGGATTCAGATGTTTGATGTTAATGGGATTGCTCAGGTATTGAAGCAATGAAAATATGGAAAGTTATTCCTAGGAGAAAAAGTAGTTAGTCCCTTTCACATCTTCAGTTGACACTAGCATTAGTATCAATTCTTCTCTGTTGGGAACATTAAGTCTTAACAAGGTTCACTATAATATCATCCTTTCTCAGTAGTGATCAAGAGAGAGAAGGCCTCTCCAAATCATTGGCTTGATGCCTTGAGATTTTTAACATTTAGGCCTCACACTTATCAGGGGATACTTTGCATTGACTTCAGCACCTGAACAGTTCCAGTTTCCAATACTCAAGTGTCTGCAAATCAACTTTTTTTTTTTAACTTAGTTTTAACTCTCTCCCTCCCCTTCCCCCCACTTTTTTTTGTTTGTTGGGGGGGTGGGGGGGCAAGAATCTGCAGATAAAATGAGCACTGTTTCCAAGCTATGAGGTATTATTACAAGTGAAGTTAAAATCCTCAGGGTGGAGAAACATGTCAAAATAATCTGGCAAAGCTGTGAAACTAGGGTCTCAGGGAGGAAGGGCAGCTCCACTGTGCTGCTTTCAGCTTTACAGGAAACCGTGGCAGCTCTGGGTCTCAGCTCCTGCAGGTTGCACAAATTCTTCTGTGCAGAGCACCCTTTCCGAGGCGGTTTCCAAAGGTGTAAAGCTGTCAAACTCTAAACTCTTCAGGTGCAAAATACTAGGGCTGGTGTCCTAGTGGACAGTATTACTGGGGAGTATAATAGAGCTTGGTGCAGTCTATGCCATTTGGTTTTCCCAAGCCAAGGACGTCCTTCCTCCACACCATCGTTCATGGCATAACATCACAGCCAGTTCCCCTGTGCAGAGGTCACGCCTTTGCTTAGTTTCTAACCCTGGTTCTCCATCTTCCATTTCACCATCTATAATCCAGAAATCCCATCTCAAATGTAACACCATGTGTTTGAGATTGTTGACACGTGGTTAAGGAGATTGAGATGTACAACTGTGTGACTAAATCCCCTAGATAGGTTTGATAATCAGCCTTTATGCACAGCTCCAAGTTATTTTGAATGGCTGAAAATAACCAGAAAATAAATAAATAAATAAACTGTAAGTGACCTCCTTTCCTGTGCTTCCAGATTGGGATATCGTGTGGGTAAACAACTCTGAATAAAGCTGTTCTGAATTAAATAAATGACTGGCTTTGGTGGGTATAATACAAGGCAGGCAATAAGAGCTATTTAAAATCCTATCAAGATGTTGAAGTCCTTATCCTGAATGCAGGGGGACTGGTGTGCATTGCCTCCAGCAGCACACCTGGATGTGGCAGCTGTCTCACAGACCACCGTACCCTGATGTGGCCTGTTTCATGCCTACCTGCACTTGCCATTCAGGCATCCAGGGCAGTTTGCCAGCTCCCTGCTCAAGGGACATACTGGGATGCAGTGGGCTAAAATTAAATCTCTGTTGTTACAGTGAGACAAAGCTTAGTGAGGGCATGACTGCCACAGCAGGACAACAGCTTCAGCTTCCAAGGCCTCTAGAAGGGTTATGAAGTTTGGCTTTTTTGAAGGACTCCTAAAAACTGTTGGATTCAGCAGGGAAACTGTGCTGCCTCTGCAAAAGCAAAGGGCTCCTTGTGGAGACATTTGCTACTGTCTGCTTTAGTATGCAGCCAACCTAGTTGTCATAGGGCCTTAGCTGAAAATGAAAAGGCATGTTTGAAGTCAGTGGTACTGAATACTTTAACTTCATTATTTGAAGCATTTGTGATAGTTGTATTGTAACCCTAATTTCGACTGATGAGGTTTTTGAAAATGGTTAACAATTATAGGTCAGCTTTGAGATGTAAGCATCTTAGCATTTGTTGTAAAAGCTTGTTAAAAGTAATCTGTGTCTTATTTACCCTGTCACCATATCATTTCATGTGCTAATGTACTGGGAATGTCAAGCTGTGCTGACAATGGCAGAGCTTTCCTTCTACTCATTTTTATTTCTGTGCAAATATAATTAAGGCAAGAAGTGTCATAGGGGTGCCTGATCACATGCAGGCATTAAATTAGCTCCCTTTTTGCCTCCTAAGGCAAGCAGACCCAGCACTGCAAGGTCTCTGGGAAAGACCCATGGCTTGTGTCTGTTAAGACAGCATCTTGCATGCTTGGTCTCTGAGCCCTCACCCATGCTGGCTGTATGCAGGCAATTGTTAAGGGTGATTAAGTGGGAAATAGATACGCGTTTCATCTTCAGCATGGGAACAGCCCCAGCAGCTGCCTCTGGAATTACTGTCGTATTTCACATTAGGCTTGTGCTTCCAACTTCTGAATTTAGGTTTATATTGCAGCAAGACTCCAACAAACATGGAGTCTCTGGAAAACTGGAAGTGGGGGCTTTGGGACTTATTCTTCCAGAATTTGGGGGGGAATGCAAATCTTCCACTAGCTGCCAAGAGTTCTGTATTAGACCTCTGAAACGTAGACCTCTGTATGGAGCCATATCAAGAGGATGTGCCTGCATGTCTGTGAAGTGGAGGCAGTGTGACAGCAAAGCTTCCATGTAGCACAGGAAGAGTATACAAGGGCACACTGAAGACATCCGGGATGCAGGTGAGGACAATCTTTGGACAGAATTATATCTTAAAAGCAATTTTGAAATTCTGCTGGTCATTCTTTAAAGGCCACAGGGAACTAGCAGTATTTGATGGGGCTCTACCTGGGCATGAGGCACCCAAAGGGCAACTTCATTCATCTGCTGAAGGCTTCAGTGTGGTTAGAGACCCGGACACTCTGATAAAGGGTGACTTGATCCCGATACCGAACAAGCAATCATTTGCGTTACTCTCTCCATACAGATGGAGTAATTTAGGCAGTGACCCATGCATGCCGATGACCCCTACAAACCAGATTGCTTTTCATTCAGTACCCAAGAGTGGTTTCAGATGCCTGGTATAAGACCTTTTCAGATAAGGAGCCTACAGGGACTTGGCCAAACCACTCCATCACTACATCATATAACTTGATACATATAATTTGAAGCATATAATTTGACACTGTGTAATCCATCAGAGTTCATCTATCTCAACTGAAAATGACCTTGTACATGAATAGATGAAATTCTAATTCTGTCCCATTTTCTAGTTCCACTGTTCCCATAAATTAAACGTGTTCAGTAGAAGATTGGGGGAATATATAAGTGAAATGAATCAGCTCTCTGCCCTTTTAGACTGACAGAAGATTGTATCAGACTACAACTAAGAAGTAGTCATAACTTGTGAGTTACAAAAGATCCTATGGTGAACACAATTAGAAAAAGAGATATAACAGTATATTTTCTATGTATGTTGGAGCTGCAGGCACACACTGAAGTGTCAATAACTTGAAGCAAGAGTGGCTGCTGTTGTTGCTCTTTTTTTGGTTTATTTTCAGACTACTCCAACTTCTTGTGCAAAATAGTTTGAACAGCTTCCAGCTTTGAGGAAATAAGTAGGCAAAATTTACCGCTATAAACACATATTCAAGAGGAGGACAGTGTAATTCTCTGCACTAATCACTGCCAGCCTACTGTGAATTGTCAGTATCACTGAGGGATGTACATAGTGTCTGAAAAAACATTGGGGTTCTGTTGTTTATATGGCTTTTTTCGCACTAGTTTCACGGTTTTAAGCGGAGTATCAGGTACAGTTGTCTTGCAACAGTTTGAGCAGAGAGATGGTCTGGAATAATAAGTCAACACGACAATGCTGCACAGGGGTGCAGGAGTGAAGATAAGAGAAGCCATAGTAACAACAGTAGTATAGCAGCATCATTAACCTTCTTTTTTTTTTTTTTCCTTTTCTACACTAAATTTTCCACAGACAAGAGCGCTGGTAATTTTAACTTTGATTGAGAACTGCTATTATCCACTCACAGCATGTGGGAGCAAACAGGCACTTGGATAAATCACAAAGAAGAAAACCGCTTAGCATGCTGCTTTCCTCAATAACACCTTTTTCTGAAGGTGCAGGCTGAGTGCTGTGGGGAGAGTGTGTGTGAAGAAAAAAGCAAGGCTGCAACACCCCACTGAAGCGTGCTGAGGGTCAGCCCCTCTCATAGAAGGTCACGTTTGACTTAGAAGGTATTCTGATATGTTTAAAAAATTTAAGTAATTAAATAACTCAGTGAATGAAAGCCATCAGGATTCTAATGCAGTGTTAATGAGGTCTTTCAGGAATTGTGAAGATCAGTTTCCTCAGTGACAGAGTGGCAGCCATTAGCAAGCTCATTCAAGAGTAATCATCCATCAAAGGTGAGTGCCTGCACATCCAGGATGCAGAGGAGCTTGAGGAGCAGGACATACATTCCTGCTTGCAGCGGCTGCAGTGGGACACCCCTAAATTGCCTCATTTTCCTCCTGCAGGCACTCAGCCCAGGGCTGTGTTTGCTGCCTCTCAGGAGTGGATGGAGTGGGCTGACTCCACCAGCGTGAGTACAGAGGAGGTCGTCTCCTCCACAGCCAGCGCTGCTTCAGGTGAGAGGAAACTCAAACTGATGTGAAACGTGGAGTACCTCTCACATGGTCATTGAGAAGAAGACTTGCTGGACAGCCTCTATGAAAACTCAACACTGTTTTGGATTGGAATTTCCTACTGAGCACGCCAGCAGTGCTGCCATGGCAAAAGACAAGCAAGAGTAAGGGCTACAGCTGCTCCTCTGACATTGCTGGTACAGTTTCTAGAATAAATTTCCAGCTCCTACCAACTCCTGCTTCTACGCCAAGAAAAGGACCTGAACTGGAGGAGGTTTGGCACTTCATCTGTGATGGGTAGAATCCAGCAATAAATTATTCCACTATGAAGGCCTAATACAGTTAATAGAGCATATAAAGCTGTCTACTGTGTTTCATCATATTTAATTTGCTGCAGCAACCTGCAGCCATCCAAGTTGTTTCATTCTCCCTTTTACAACCCTCCGATGCCCTGAGAGATGATCTCCCAGCTCAGGAATCCCTGTGTTACCAGCAACTCTGCATCAGCAGAGCACTGCAATGCCTTCAGAGCATTCAGCTGCTTCTTACCCTAAAGCATGGCCCCAAGACACATCATCGTGTCATGCTTTGTGGTTTATGAGAGATGTGGTTGCCTGGCCCAGCAGCCTCCTGTGCTGCCTGTACCCTGTGATAGTGCTTAGCGAGAGAGCAGTGACCTGCTGGTCTCCCCCCACCCATGGGATGGTAGAACTTTGCTTCTCACAAGGGTTGGGACATTACAGAGTCCAGCTTATGCCTCCTAGCCTTTGGTCAGATGGGGTCTCACGCCACAGCATGTCACACATGGCTGTGACAAAACATGGATGTTGGGATGAAGGTTAGCCACCTGCAAGCATGTTGTGCCATGTGAGGGATCATGTGAAATGATTATTCAGGAAATTGCAGGAGCTGTTGGGAAAGAGAGCAGCTGAGACTTTACCATTGCCACCAAGGATGCTGCAGCTGGAGACAAGGGAGAACAGGGGACTGGCAATCAGAGTCCGCCTCTAAATCTCCCATCTTCTTCCTCAGTGTGTTTGGATGATGCAGGGCTGGAATAAACTCCAGGCAGAAGGTTGCTGTACCTTGAACCTTCTGGGGCAGTCCTTAGCAAGACAGGGCAGACTATGTTCCTTGAGCTCTGGAGCAGAGGTGCTGATGGTATGGTACGTTTGAGCAAGACTCAAGAGAGAATGTGTTGGTTTCTCCCAGTTTCTACTTAGGTTGTTGATACAATCCCTTTAATAAAAAACAGTGATTCCTTGCCCAGTCCCATTGATCCCCAGCATGGCTAGAGAACTCCTGTGAAGGACAGCCAGCATTCACATGGGTCTGGAATGTGAGCAGGGAGAAGGGGGGCTGCCACCAGAAATATCTGGGCACTGCTGCCCCAAATGCTTCCTCAGCTGCCTGTATCTCTCCTGCCCTGTATGTAGCCTTTGTGGTCTCTGTCCAGCACAGCTACCCTGCCTTTGCATGGCACCAAGCAGCACCCACCACCATCTCTGATGTCCCAGCTTGGCTCCACAATAAGAAGCTGATGGGTCACAATACTGCTAAACATGTGCACAGTTTGGTCTAAGGGTGCGGATGAGGGAAATAGGAGTACATAGGGCTAGGGATATTATAGTAACATATTGCAAGTCCAGCAACGGTACTTATCAAAGGAACAAAAAATCTCACATAAAGTATTTCCAAAGAACTTTTGCAGTGTCCTAGCCCAGTGATCAGTGCAGTGGTGTGGAAAGAATCCTGTAGCACATTTATTTGCGTGGTGGCTGCTCTCACCTGGGCTAGGTTAAAAGAATCACATTCCAGCACCAGATAAATGAAAGCTCTGCTCCCCAAGACATGCCCCATAGCTACTCAGCTGGAAAGCAGGGATCCTTCTTACGCCTTTCAATCAACACTAAGCATGCTGCTGGACCTCTGGTAGCTGTTTTTTCACTTATATTTATTACCATAATTAACATATGAAACACTTTAAAACACTTACTTTGCATAAGCTGTGATTTACAGTCATTGCCATGAGAGTGTGTCCTGTAACTAGCCTTAGATGACAGGCATAATTCAAAACTATTTGTTGTTCCCTCTGTGACCTAACAATGAAAAGGGACAGAGTGAATACAGAAATGTGGAAAGAACGGATGGCAATTCATTTCAGGAGGTGCAGTAGCAAGTTCCAAGAGATTAAGAAGAAATAATTCTGACTGTAAAGGTAATGAGCTAGCAAAAAAGGGAATATGAATATCTGCGAGTGCTGGCTTGCTATGATTTCAGTGACATGTCACCCCACACAACTGAAGTGGGATGCTCGTGCTTTGCCATAGTGTGGTATTCACTAACCATTTGTCAGGCAGACCAAACCTTCTCTGGGCACACCAGGAAACTGGAATTCATCTCATCGCCCATCTGCCATCTTAAAATTAAGACTCTTGTTTGAAATGCTCATCTATGTACCTGCAAGCAATAGAGAGGAATAGGCAGCTCAGGCGGGTGGATCAGCTAATCCTGATATGCAGGAAGAGTAAATTGCCCTCCAGAGATGTTTTTGTCTTGTCTTTTGACTACAGAAGGAGTCTAGACAGCAATTTCAGACTAGAAGCTTTAAAAAGAGCTTGCTAACAGTTGGTAGGAGGATTCCCACCAAATAGTGATGGTAGGAACTATTCAATAAAACTTGCTCCATCCTGAGTCTTTTGAGTGGTTTGAATATTTAGATCAAAGTTGCACGTTGCATACTTGATGCTATAGCTCTCACTGGCCAGACTTCCTGGGTGTACATGATTGTGAAGAGCAAGTAGAGCAATGGACGAAGAAAATGTGGCCTTCAGCCCCATCTGTTCCGGGAGCTTCTTGGGTGACTGGAGAAGGCAGTTCACCTCTCTGCCCTTTAGCTTGTCCGTATATAACAAGAAACATTGATACTGGTTTACACTCAGTCAGGAGCCTCAGAGCAGTCATTCACCTCAGGGGTGTTGTGTTGAGAAGTGATTCCGCTCGTTAATAGGCACCATTTTTCTCTACCACCTCTCAAGTCTGCATATACAACTTAGTGGTGGTTTGGACATCCTAAGAAATTACATTAGAATGCTGGACCCTGCAAGACCCATCTGTTACCATGGCCTGAAGATGTTTATGCCCGGACTCAGAGACAGACATTTTCTTTATCAGCTACTAGGAAACATGCCTAGCCCAAGCCATCTTAAGCCTTCTCTTTGAAGACACCAAATGGAGACCACCTAGTTGTAAAGGTGGCAGAGGCAGATAAACAGGTAAAAGGGAAAATCACCTTTTGGCTACCAGGCCCTGTGTTCCCTGTGAAAGTTTCTCTTACTTTGCACTAACATCTGATTATTAATTTGGGAAATAAACTCACACATACATCCTGGGGATCCAGTTCTTCTTTCCCTGCAGTTAAAACTGTCAAGAAGGATTTTTTCTTGGGGACAAATGCTTCTATTTATTTCCTAAGCCATTCCTTTGTATCTGTTCTGTTTTGGTGATTTCTGTATTCCTCATCATGAGTGGCACCTAGAAATATACTCATGTAGTGGTGACACAGAATCGCAGCAGGTCCTTTTCTTACACCAAATTCTGGATGTTATGTTGCTATGATGTCCTAGAGACTCCACTACCTGGAGAAAGAGTATTTACTTTGCACAAGTTTTGACAGATCAAAAATCACTCAGTAGGTAGCTCTTCAGGACCATCCCATTCAGAAATGAACTCTGTCTAATTAATGTCACTCAGATCGGTATGTGCTTGTTCTGAAGATAGAGAAGAAGTGCTTCCTAGTAACCAAAGTCTACATTTAATGAAGCAGGAGGGGTATCAGACCTGGCAGCCCATCCAAAAAGGATTAGTATTGTTACCTGGGTGGATGCTGCCCATAATCTCTCACTGCAAGTGATGCTGGGATGGGTATCAGCTGCAAAACTGATGGGATCCAGAAAGGGAGATAGTTGGTTCGGTTGATACGCCAGAGGGAAGGAATGCCATCCAGAGGGACCTCGACACGCTTGTGAGGTGGGCTGATGCCAACCTTATGAAGTTTAACCATGCCAAGTGCAAGGTCCTGCACCTGGGTCAGAGCAATCCCAGGCACAGATACAGGCTGGGCAGAGGAGAGATTCAGAGCAGCCCTGCAGAGAAGGAATTGGGAGGGGTGCTGGTCGATGAGAAAATGAACATGAGCCGGCTTCAGTGTGCGCTTGCAGCCCAGAAAGCCAACCGTATCCTGGGCTGCATCAAAAGGAGCGTGACCAGCAGGTCGAAGGAGGTGATCCTGCCCCTCTACTCTGCTCTTGTGAGACCTCACTTGGAGTATTGTGTGCAGTTCTGGTGTCCTCAACATAAAAAGGACATGGAACTGTTGGAACAAGTCCAGAGGAGGGCCACGAGAATGATCAGGGGACTGGAGCACCTCCCATATGAAGACAGGCTGAGAAAGTTGGGGCTGTTCAGCCTGGAGAAGAGAAGGCTGCGTGGAGACCTCATAGCAGCCTTCCAGTATCTGAAGGGGGCCTATAAGGATGCTGGGGAGGGACTCTTCATTAGGGACTGTAGTGACAGGACAAGGGGTAACGGGTTAAAACTTAAACAGGGGAAGTTTAGATTGGATATAAGGAGGAAATTCTTTCCTGTTAGGGTGGTGAGGCACTGGAATGGGTTGCCCAGGGAGGTTGTGAATGCTCCATCCCTGGTGATGTTGAAGACCAGGTTGGATGAAGCCTTGGGTGAGATGGTTTAGCGTGAGGTGTCCCTGCCCATGGCAGGGGGGTTGGAACTTGATGATCTTAAGGTCCTTTCCAACCCTAACTATTCTATGATTCTAAGTTTTCCCACATTGGACAAGGAAGCCTCAAACGCCACGTAAGCACCAAGTGCTTGCGAACAGCCCTTGCTGGCGTGAACAGGGGTTATGAAATGCCAACTCCTTTCATTTTGTAATCTCAGGGGCAGGTGAGTCAGTGCACTTGTGTTGGTCATGATCAGAAATCAAACCCTCAAATTGTTGATGATCTTCAGGTCCACAGGCTTTCGGTAAGTTTTAAGGATAGCATGCTAGTTAAAGAAATTCAGGGTAATCGTGTATATGCAAAACATATCTACGCACATCTTAGTCCTTGTATGAGTTAGAGAATGTATGCTGTTTGAATTTTATAGAAATGGTGAATTTTAAAACATTTTGCTTTGCTGTATTCATCTCTGATCTCATGATAATTTCTACACAAGCCTATATCTACCCAAGCTTCTTGAAGTAGATGTCTGGAAAAGCAAGAGACAGACACTCTCCATCTTCTACCCTCTGATCATCTTCTTTAATTTCTGAGGCAGGGTAAATTAAGGTTTTGTT